AAAAAAAAAAAAAAAAAAAAAAAAAAAAAAAAAAAAAAAAAAAAAAGGTGCGGGGGAGCAAGCGCTGCCTGGAGCCGCGGCGCCGGCGGGTTGAGCGGGGCGATCCCAGCCCGGCAAGGAGGGCAGGGCGGGGCGCGCGCTGCGGGAGCGAGCCTGGCGCCCACCGTGGAGACTGTCGCGAGGTGCCGAGGTAGGGATCGGCGGCAGAGACTTGGAATGGGGAACTGGGGTGCGAACGGCTGAGCCTCTCTGTGCAGCGAGCTTGTTGTAGAGGGGTGGTCTGCGAGGCCGCGTCTACGTGGGCAGCCTGGACCTAGCGTGCAGCGATCCCCACTGTGTCTCCAGGGCCAAGTCCGCGGGGTGACTCCCTGAGCCTGCATCTGTCTAAGTCAGCTATGCAGGCGCTCGGCCACCTTCGTCCCTTCAGCAGATGCTGTCTGCGGGACTGCATAGGAGCCCCGCTCACGGTACCCCGGGCCCCGGCTCTGAGTGGAGGCCGTGTCTATGCGGAGTGGGCCTGGACGGGTGCACCCACGTGTGGATCTCGGCGGAGCGCTCCTCCCACGGACCTCCCGTGAGTCTTCCGTGGAGAGCTGGGGGCGGGGTAATGAATGGGACGGATGCGGCGAGCGACTTCAGCTGCTGCGTAGTTGTTCCCTGGTTGAGGGTGGCGGAGGCGGGCGCTGCGGCTTCTGATTCTGGTGGGCAGAGGATTGGTGCTCCGAAGGTGCACACGTGCACGGGGAGCTGGTTGTGGTGTTTGGAGGCGGTTGTGCGTGCGTCACGTGGACACAAGAGTGTGCCTGTGGAGGTTGGGGGTGCGTTTCAGGATGGAGTGGTGTATGAGCACAGGTCACGAGGACATTGGTTACATATGTCAGGGAAGGGGTGTGTGCTTGTGTTGAGGGTGTTCCAGAATGAGCAGAGCTAGCTCTCTGTCACATGTCCTGGGTTCCAGAATTGTGTTCCAGTGAATGCCTCTTTGCCTTGGTCAGGTTCAGGATGTGAGAGAAACACACAGCTTGTGTCCTTGAAAATCCCGGGGAAAAGGAAGAGGCCAGGCCTTCTGCACATCCTTGCCTCCTCCACCCAACACACTCTGTGCACAGGTCAGACTGTTCTAGTCCCACACACTTCTCGGACCCCACTACTTTCTCCTTGGTCTCTCCCCGCTCAATCCTCCCAGCAGGAGTGAGGCTCATCTTAAACCTCATCCAACTTAATTGCTTCGCTGCTTAAGACTCCTCTAGTGTTGTGAGCCTTTTGGTTTCTGTCTACAAAGTCCTGCCCAGCCCCACACAAAGCCCTGAGTCCCACTTTGGGAAGGGATCTCTCTTAGGCATAGGGTGAGTGCTCCCAATCCTGCTCAGCGGTCAAAAAAGAACTTCAGCGTCACCCCCTCCAAAAAATCCAACCCCCAGGCCCCTGTAAGTGGACCTCTCCATCAGGGACCTCTCCCACAGAGCAAGCACCTTCCCACCTCATGGTGCTTGTATGAGCCAGTCCTTCTGACTCTTCCCCAGATGTCCACACTGCCTTGCCCCTTCATAACTGCTTAGATCTTGCATCTGAAAACATGTCCTTCCTGCACTCAATCAATAATGTCCCCCATTGTCTTATTCCTGCTGTCTTGTTGCAATAGCTGTCTTCCCAGGGTGTTCCACGTACTCTATCATAATTCACTACTAATATTCTTATTTGTTGCTTCCTGACTCTGCCAGAAAGCAAACGGTGAGAGCAGGGACTTTGCCTTTTGGGTTTATCTCCTAGTACCTCTATAGCAGATAGCCAATGAATAGTTGTGGCAAGAATGTATGAGTCTGGATTTGCATGTCAGGAGTCGGTGTTCCTGTCTGTTCCCCAGATTCCGAGGCCCCTGAAAAACTACGGGCAAACTCCGAACACATTTGCATGCTAGAAATCCTCCCAATAGCAACTGGTGTGGAGGAGAGAGTGGGATGCGATCCGGGGGTAGAGGGACCCCCAGAGAGTAATGGAAGTCAGAGTCTGACTGTGTTATCTCCAAATCTGTGCTGTTTAAGGGGTTCAACTTAGTGAGCTCATTTAGCCAGCAGTGGGGAGATCAAAGAGGCGTCTCAAAGGAGGTGATGTCTGATCTGGTCTTCAGGCCAGAACACCAAGGGAGGTGTGTTCCTGGCAGAAGGCACAGCTTGTGCGAAGGCCTGGTGACACAGAGCCTTCAGCTCAGGAAGCCTGAAGTGGTGGGATGCAACCAGAATGGAGAGTGGGTGCTGCAGGAGGTGGGGGGCTGAGCGGGGGAGAATGAGGAAATAATCCCTCAGAGACTCTTGCCGTTATGGCTCAGGCTCTATGAAAGTTCAAGGAATGGTGTCCCCACTTCTGTGATGGGGCAGAGGAGGATAAACAGTACAGGGATGATGCTGAGTTGGATGGGTCCCTGACGGAGCTGAGCCACTCCGGGGACAGGGAGGGGAGGAACTCTCTGGAAAGAGGGTGGAGGCTCAGAGCTTGCATGGAAGAGGAGACCCACAGATGTCAGTTTCCACAGGTGGGTCGAGGGATGCCCTTGAGGACAGCTGCAGAGGGGGAGGCACGAGCCCACCTGGGTGTTCGGGGATCCCCGAAGGTAGTGGGAGGCCATCCTCACAGCAGGCATCCTTGAGCATGACTTGGCACCAGACTCTTGGGTCTCCCTCAAGGGGACTGAGTCATCCTAGGCGGGGGCGGGAGCTGCAGAGGGCACCATTGCCAGCTCCATCAGACCCTTGCTGGAAGCATAAACAGGGCTACAGTGAGCCGTTGCTGAGATGTCAGGACCACTTTGTTGCATAGCCCACATGGCTACTACCTTCTTGCATTCCCTTCCCCCGACACTAGTCCTTTGCTGCTCGGGGCTGCTCATCTTCTGCCTGGATGGTAATTGGTCCCTGGTTCAACCTGGTTCTGGAACATTCTGGCAGAACTCAGAATGAGATCTGAAGTCACTGGTCTCTGAAGTTACTGTAGATAGGGCTGCTTGAACCAGTGTGAGTGACAGCAGGGTTTCCTTGCTCTTTCCTCTTCTGACCTCTGCTGAAGGACCTAGCTGGATGGGGCGTGTCCACAGAAGGAGGTCAGACGAAGTGGGCTTCTGAAGCCAAGGGCTTGTGTCCATGGGAGTGGCAGACACATGGAGGGTGGGGTGCAACTTGGAGGAGAAACCGGAGCCAGGCCAGTCTGGAACCAGGCACCTAAAGTGGGTTGTGTTTGGTAAAGTAGGGCTCATTCTGAGTTGCTTCCAGATACACACACATTCTAACCACATAATTACTCAGGCACAAACTGCTTCTGTGTCCACAGCTGCATCCTCTCCCTCCCAGGGCTCCCCGAGAAGGCAAGACAGTAACTGTCTGTTTTATTCACCTGTGAGAAAACTGATATTTCAAGCTTAGTGTCCCAGCACAGCATGGTTGCAGGCCTTTCATCCCAGCACTCGGGAGGCAGAGGCAGGCGGATCTCTGAATTCAAGGCCATCCTAGCCCACAGAGTGAGTTCTAGGACAGTCAGGCCTACACGGATAAAGCCTGTCTCAAAAAACCAAAATAAAAATAAAAACAAAAGGTCAGTGTCCTAACCCAGGCTGCACAGCTTCCATCCGAGAGAACAAGATTTAAACTTTGCCTAATGAGGGAGGACCTGGGACTGGGACTGTTCTCTAGGCCAGTAGAGAGACCCTCTCCCCTGCCAACAAGGGTCTGTGCCCGAAACTGGGCCTGGGTCTCAGCCTGTCTGTCCATCCTTCTGTTTACCTGCTGAGTCGACTTCTGCAAAGCATTCTCAAGGCTTTAGTTTGGGGGGGGCAGGGCTTGAGAAGACCCACTGGGTTAGCCCCAAGGAGGAGTGGACCCTCAGGCCAGTCTTATAAACCATCACCAGTCCCAGGCTGATGGGACAGGTGGTCTTGTGGGGAAATCCAGACTTGACCTCTGGAGTCCAGTTCCCCTGGCCCTGGCTTCATGTATCTGTGCAGGTCTACAGGGACAGAGTGCACATGATCTACTAGTAAAAGGAGCGCAGAGAGAGAGAGAAAGAGAGAGAGAGAGAGAGAGAGAGAGAGAACTTCTTGTCTGCACAGATGTACTCCTAAGTACAGATCTGCAGTACAAGTATGAACAGCCCCCAGCCTCTTCCCGTATGTTCTCTCTGGGTCAGACACAGGCCCTCACACACACAGCTACAGGCCAGGCACAAGGCCCTGTCTCCTGGACACTCAGCAGGAACTTTGGGCCTCCCCTGCTGCTTCTCTCCAGCCAAGCCCTGATTAGTCACCTGAATTTGATCCAGGCAAGAGGGAGGCATGGATGGAGAGTCTGACGTCAGCTCTCACAACCTCCTCCCACTGCCACCCTCGCATCCATCTGGGCCCCAGCTCAGCCCATGCAATCACAACTCACTTCTCTGGAGCTTGTGAGTGGCAAGCGCTATTCTGTGTCCCGACAGGCACCAGCTTCTACACCTCACAACCACATGGGTGTGAGACTTGCCTTGCCGCCCATTTCACCAATGAGGAGTACCCCAAGTCGTCTGCCCTCTCCACCTCTAAGAGCCAGGAGGTGGACAGCTGGGCATCCCAGCCTGGGTGCCCAGCCAGGTAATAGTCCTTAGACTGGCACAGGAAGGCTTCTGCATCCACTTGCTGTGTGACCCCAGAGTCATCTTTACCCCGGCTGAGGAAAGGGGGAAAGGGAACTAAAAGAAGGTGACCTTTTAGCAGTTATCACCTGAGGGAAATTATATACAAATGTTATGGTTCAGGGCAGCCTGTGGTTTCTATCTGCTGGGGGCTCCCCTGAGAGCAGAGGGCAGGAACCTCTGACTGTCTTCTGTCCCCTGGTGTGTCTGCTGCCTGAGGCTGATTGGGGTTTCCTCACTGAGGCTGCTTTCCCATCCATGTAATGGGAGCAGGGCTGTAGAGATCACTATGACGACCACTTGTGTTCAACAAATATTTATCAAGCTCTTCTGTGCCAGGCCCTGCTGAAGACACAAGTGATCTTATGGAGACAAAGCAGACTGAAGAACTAATCTCAGCACTTAGAACATGGTGGCGAGGTTTGCCCTCTAGGGAATGGAAGAGTGGGTGCAGGAGGAGGCTCTTCGCAGTCTTGAAGACCCCTCACCCTCTTCACCTGTTCCAGGGAGGCCTCTTAGAGTTCCAGCCTCACAAGTTCCCCCACCTTCTTCCTTTGTTCGGACCAGCAGCGGCTCTGCTGCCTCTGGTGCTTCCTGGCTCCCTGTCACTCAGCACATGCTGTCCCAAGCAAAGGCTCTGACCCTTGCCCTCTTACAGTCTACCTTCAAGTCTGGTGGTAGCCAGGACAGCTAGGGAGGCATAGCATCCACAGTACAGAAGAGGAAGCCTGACTTGTTCCAGACCTGTGGTACATTGGCAGCAGAGGTGCTGCCCTACCAGTGGCTAGGGCATCCCAGCCAGCCCTAGCACTTTGACAATATTCACAGTCAAGGATGGGGAGCCAAAGGTAGAATGAGAATGGCACCCATGGGACCTGTGTTCTCTGAGTTACAGGCAGGATAGAGGAAGTCACCAACAGATCGGAAGGGCAGGGGTTTAGGAGTCCACTTACTTCCTTTTCTGTGAAGATGCAGAGAGGCCCAGGAGGGAGCATTGGGTGGATGTGGAGCCACAATGTGGGCTGTGGCAGACATGGTTGTGCTGGTCTGAGAATAAGTCAGTTCAGCCAGAGCCTGTGTGTAGCTAAGGGTCATGGCTGAGGTGAGGGAGTGGCCTGAGGCTGGGGCTTGACTTGAGGCTCAAGCCAGGGCTACTGCTAGAAGTTTTAGCTGGTTGGGTACATAGACTGAAGTAGATTCAAGGTTATGTGTGAAGCCAGACCCGAGAGCTGAAGTAGATACAAGGTTATGTGTGAAGCCAGACCCAGGAGGCTGAAGTAGATACAAGGTTATGTATGAAGCCAGACCCAGGAGGCTGAAGTAGATACAAGGTTATGTGTGAAGCCAGACCCGGGAGCACCTTGGCCCCAGCAGAGCAGCCATAAGGGACATTTTGTCACATGGGCAGGCTGGAAGAAAAAAACAGTAGGGATACAGAAAATGCGCTAGTGTCTTGTGTGGCAGACCCGCCTCTACTGTACCCTCCTCTGGGCTGGAAGTTCTACTGGGGCAAGGACTCAGATTTGCCTTGGGGTCTTGAAGATAGTGAGAGGAGGTGACAGAGACCTGAGACCTCAGGAAATGCTCTTAAAAACAGTGAGAGGACTAGAGTGAGGGTCTGGGATATCCAGGAGGCCTTCCTGGAGGAGATGTCTCTGGCCGCAGCTCCGATGCCCAGCCTCCATCTAGGGGCTGTACTGGAATGCTTTGCCAACAAGTGTGGCGACTGACAAGCCACTGGGCTGCCTGTGTGGCTGGGGCTGAACTGACCTGGGACTTTGTGCCATGGTGTGGTTAGGCCTCCAGGTCTGCCACATCTACCTGTCTTGACTGCAGAGTTGGTTTTGTTGCCCTTCTCTGTGAAGCCATCATGGCAGGTGTCTGTACCTGTCTCACAGGCAGGGGCACTGGGGACTAGAGGGTTGGCATGCATCAAAGCCAGGTGAGCTACCAGGAATGCCTGGGTTTATGGGTTAGCAAGTCAGGCCAAGGGAGCAACCAGGAGGGAGGTTAGTAGCACTGTGGCTACCGTAGGAAAAGAGTCTCGGCCCAATCCACTTGCCTGGCTAGGAGTGACACTCTCTCCTCTCTCAGGTTCCCAGCGAGGTTATTCAGAAGATCCACCGACTGAAGTGATGGAGAGGGGCCCTGCCGTCTGCTGCCAGGACCCTCGGGCAGAGCTGGTCGATCGGGTGGCAGCCATCAATGTGACCCACTTGGAAGAGGCAGATGAGGGCCCAGAGCCTTCCAGGAATGGTGTGGATCCTCCGGCCCGGGCCAGAGCTGCTTCTGTGATCCCTGGTAGTGCTTCAAGACCCACCCCAGTGCGGCCCAGCCTCTCAGCTAGGAAGTTCTCCCTGCAGGAACGGCCAGCGGGAAGCTGTCTGGAGGCCCAGGTTGGGCCGTACTCTACAGGTCCTGCCACTCATATCTCTCCTCGGGCCTGGCGGAGACCCACCATCGAGTCCCACCGTGTGGCCATCTCAGACACGGAGGTTGGTGAAATGGAGTTAGGTAGGAGTTGTTCATGGGCTTGCCAGGAAACTTGGGGTTTTCTTGCCCACCATCTGTCCCATATACCTAACCTTCTCTTTGGTTTGCATACTTTGAGAGCTGAGAAGCTCACTACCTAGCAGCAGGGCTTCTTCCTAGTCAGGAAAGGGCCATCTGAAGCAATAGCTACCTCCTGCCTTCTTCCTGCTCTCAGCCCAGGCACAGGACCCTCTCCTGTTCCTAAGAAGCCTTTTTAGAGCTTTGGAAATAGGTTATGTACATCCTTACCCCTGCATCATCCCAAGCTCGAGTCATAAGACTTAAAAACTGCAGTGGCTTCCAGTTTCTGATCTTTTTCATGAGCTTGGATCTGAATGTGAACTTGGGTAGTTGGTGGGAGCACAGCCCAGCTAGGGCTTCACCCTTCATATTTTCACACATTGCCTCAGGCTTCTTATCTCTCGGGGTGGGGATGCTTCCCTCCAATCTTCCCTGATCTAAACTTGAAAGGCTGGTGAGAGCTGGGGGTCTGGGAAGTAGGGCTGGGCCCTGAACAGTCAGCCTCCCAAGATGGGAACACTCTTGAATCTGAATGAGCTGTCCTCGATGCTCCCCTCTCCCCTAGGACTGTGTGAAGCTCAACCAGTACAAGCTGCAGAGCGAGATTGGCAAGGTAAGCCCGGGCAGTACTTGGGGGATAGGCTGCAGAGTGCTTTCTGAGCATCCTTCTTTTCCCTCTGATGGGACTGGGGAGCCAAGCCAAGAATACCCCAGCCTGATTGGGAGATCACCAGAGCAGGGTGGAGGTAATTTCTGACTCCTGACTCCCAGGGTTCTTGATGGAGATTAAGGGGAAGAAGAGGCTACGTGGGGCGGTGAGGCAGGGAGTAGTTCTCAGAGCATAGGGGTTCCTTCCTCATCTCTCAGAAATGTGAACCCAAGAACCAGATGGTAGGCGATAGGGTGGGGTTGGAGTGCAAAGACTGGGACCCGAACTGTCAGGCCTGCCATTTCCTAAGCTAGACCCAGAGAGAAGGTGGCTGTGTTGTGGGACTGACCAGTGACTGTCTGCAGGGTGCCTACGGTGTGGTGAGGCTGGCCTACAACGAAAGTGAAGACAGACACTATGTGAGTCTGGGGCTGGGAAGGGGTGTGGCCCCGTAGACCCCAGATGCCTGAGTAGTAGGCAGAGGTCCTGGTGAAAGAGGCTAGGGCTACCTCTTACTGGGGAGGTTCCTATTCCTGGGGTGTGCTAATGAGCTTCCTGTCCCTTGCGGGTACGCAAGCAGAGGCTGACTTCCTCTGAAGGGAGAACAAGGGGAAGGCCTAGACTCCACTGTGGCATAGCAAACACATACCTATAACCACGTGCTCAGTACCAATGGCAGCTGCCAGTGTGCCCATCTGTACAACAGTCCCCATGTAACCAGCTCCTTCTGGCCCCTGGTGGCTGCACACATGTGATATCTCTGTCCCTTTCTTCATAGGCAATGAAAGTTCTTTCCAAAAAGAAGTTACTGAAGCAGTATGGCTTTCCTCGTATGTATGCCTTGTGTTTGGGAGCTGGTGGACTGGGGGCAGAGGAGGAGGGAATGGTCCCTAACTGTTTTTGGCTAGGAGTAGGGGTGGAGGGTAAGAAACAGGAGGAATGGCCTGGGAAAGGACTGGGCTTGGTGAGCTGGATCTCAACCCTGTGAGGATCTTTCTCCTAGACCAGCGCCTTAACTTGCTTTTTGGTCACAGGCCGTCCTCCCCCCAGAGGGTCTCAAGCCGCCCAGGGAGGACCAGCCAAACAACTGCTGCCCCTGGAGCGTGTGTACCAGGAGATTGCCATCCTAAAGAAACTGGACCATGTGAACGTAGTCAAATTGATCGAGGTAAGAGGGATGGCAAGGATACTGGAGCTTGGTGGATGGGTGTGGCGGGTACTCAGCCTACCAGGACCTAGGAGTGGGTGAGGCACTAGGGACAGACCAGCCTTGGATGGACCTGTGAGATACCAGAGGCAGTTCAGGCTGGTGACCTGGGGTGTTCTTGCTGAGGGTGAGGAGCAGTTCCTGAATCTCTTCTCCATCATCAGGGAAGAAGGACACAGTGTTATATGGAAGGCTGGTGTGGGGGGAGCAGGGGGTTGGTCAGTGATAGTGAGTCCCGTTTGTTGATACCTGTACAGTTCTTGCTCTGTGTCCAGCATGGCTTCAGGACACAGTAGGGTCAGGAAAGAGCAGGAAGCCTGGGTTTCCCAACCCCGTTCCTCCTCAAGCCCTGTGCCCATGTCTGCTTCTTCTGCCCAGGTCCTGGATGACCCTGCTGAGGACAATCTCTATTTGGGTGAGTGACCCCGCTCATTCTTACAGTGCCTCACCAAGCGCTGATCCCAGGGAGGGCTCCCTAGGGACACACAGGATGTTCAGGTGGCCGTGTCCATGCACTGACCTGTCTCAACCCCAGATTCCTTGTGCAGCACTGCAGAATGAGACTTAGATTAATCAGATTCAGTGACCATTTCTGGGCCCCACTCCCTGCTTTGAACCAGTCCCAGTTAGCATGGTTCTTCACTCAGTAGGTACAAGAAGCTGGCTGAGTCAGTGAACTTGGGGACCCTGCCTCAGTTTTCTCACTTATAAAATGGGATGATAGGGTTGGAAGTGTAACTCAATGGTAGAACACTTGCCTAGCATGCTTGAGGAACTGGCCCTTCAAAATACGCTAGTTATAATAATAAAATGAGATAACGGTGATATGTATCTCACAGGGTTGATGTCAAGAAACATGCACATTTGTAATTATCTTTATTAACATGAATGTTATTATTTAAGTTCTTTATCCTGATTGTGACTTAGGCTTTTTCTGGAGGAGGTTTGGAGAAATGGGATAGGAGGGCTGGAGGTGAAACTCTAGACATTGCCCAGCATGAGCAAGACCCTGTGTTTCAGGCCTTCACAGAAAGGGGGTGGGGCCAGAGAGCTGGCTTAGGCATCAAGAGGCCAGGCTTTAGTCAGGAGTGTAAACACATCTTCCCCTTCACAAGCCTCTGGTCCTCCCTGGGAAAGGGGTCCAGGCTGACAGTTTCACCTTGCCCCGAGGATCAGGTCAGGCAGGCCCACAGCAAGCCCTCTCCTGGCTGTCCTTCCCCTTGCCTCTCTCTAGAACAGGGAGGAACCTTGGCACTGGCTGTCCTACAGCCTTACGACACCTTCCCTTCTCTTCTTTTCTTTCAGTGTTTGACCTCCTGAGAAAGGGGTGAGTTCCCCGTCCCAGTCAGGCAGGCCATCTCTAATCCAGGTCTCCCTACCCTCCCCTTTGTCTCCCTGCCCAGGGGCCAGCTAGTGTAAGAGAAAGCAGAGCTGTGCACCTGCCCTCGGGAACTCTTGCCTCAGGGGTAAATAAGAGACCTGGGACGTTCTATGAAGGCTGGTGGGGGTTGTGGAGGCTGGGGGAGTCAGGCTGGGAGAGGGTGGGCTTAGAGTCAGACCTTGAAAAACTAGGAAGGTGTTTGGATGGAAGTGGGGGAAGTGTAGATATGGGATATAATTCATACTTGTATTTAAGTCATCAAGGGTACTCTGAGCTTTACTACCAACTCATGATTATGGGAGGGAAATGCCTAGAATCAGAGAAGGTAAACGGCCTGCCCAAGAGCATACAGCATGTTGTTGTGAAGCCTGGTGTTCTAACACTGTTTGCCCTCTTTGATCTATCAGAACATTTGCAGAGCAGCTGGTATAGACTAGTGGGTACAGGACCCGAACCCCTCACTGCCAATCCTTGAATGAAGGCTGTGAACTATCCCTTTGCCAGTGCTTTCTTGAAAGACTATATATATTTTTTTAAAAAAAAAAACCCTGCATTCAAAACAAGAAATAGGGAGTGAGCCTGTAGCTGAGCTGACAGAGTGCCTAGCAGCACTAAGCCAGGGGTTCAGTCCCTAGCACTACATAAAATCAAGGATGGTAGCTAACACCTGCAATCAAGAGCTGGAGGCAGGAGTATCAGAAGTTCAAGGTCATTCTTAGCTATGTAGTGAATTGCAGGCCAGCCTGGGCTACGCGAGACCCTGATTCAAAACAAGTATATGGTTATTTTTTGGGTTTTTTGGAGATAGGACGTCACTATTTAGACTTGACTGAACTTGAACTCATGGGTGATCCTCCTGCATTGGCCTCTAAAGTGCTGGGATTACATGCACTTGCTGTAACACCAGGCTGTTTTTTGTTGTTTTGTTTTGAGACAGGGTTTCACTATGTAGTTCTGGCTGCCTAGAACTTGCTGTGTGAACTAGGCTGGCCTCCAAGTCATGGAGAGCCTCCTGCCTCTGCCTCCTGAATGCTGGGAGTTAAAGGTGTACACCACCACACTAGGTTTAAAAAATAAAAGTTTGTATTGTTGTCCATATCTGTGATAATTTGGAAAGGTATACAGATCTTTTTTTTTACATGCTATACATTCTGAAACATTCTATTTCAATAGAAAAAGAAAAGCAGACCCTCCTAATTGATTTCATGACTCTTGGGTCTGGGTCCACCATTTTAAAGCTATTGATTTAAATGGCACCTTTGTAATTATTTGGTTAAACTTAATTCTTGCAAGAACTATAAGCCAGTGGAAATAGGGCTAAAGCTACCTTGAAAATATGATTGAAAGGGGCTAGATAGGTCACAACTTTTTGGCATATGGGAGAAGCTAGTATCTTGAGTTCTCCGAACCCTTGGGTGCCAGGCTCCCTGTAGGGCCCCTGTTCCCCAGTCCCTGCAGCCATCTCTACTCCTGATTCTGCTGAACAGCCCTCTTCCTTTCTTCCCCACAGGCCGGTTATGGAAGTGCCCTGTGACAAGCCTTTCCCGGAGGAGCAAGCTCGCCTCTACCTGCGGGACATCATCCTGGGCCTCGAGTACTGTGAGTGAGACTGTGTCTGCCCACTGGGACTGGAGCTAGAGGAAGTAGGAGCGGGCTGTGCCCACGCTAAACAGCCATTGAGCCCTTTCTGTCCATCAGCGCTGGTCTACCAATCAGCTTTAGAGGAGACGGGGGCGGGGAGGCGTGGGTAGGGCCACAACAGTCTTGACTGGGCATGCGCTAGGTCCTTCGCGGAGCATTACATTCACCGCTGTTTGTTTCTGGGTGTTTTTCTGTCTTGGCCTTTTCTGTTGGATTCTATCCAAACTTCCCCTCTCCGCAGGGCGTCAGGAGATGTGGGATGGAAGAGATTTATGTCCCGCTGCTTAGGGAAGAGCGTGTCCTGGGGTAGTGCCTGTGGCGATGGTCGGGTGGGGAAGCCCTAAGGCAAGAGCTCAGGGGTGCATAGCTTCTGTGCGAGAAGTACAGTCACTCATTCATTTCATTCATTCATTCACTTCACTCACTCACATGCACCTACTTGGGCCCCACAGATGATGGTCTAGGACCAAGGGAGCTCTGCCCAGGAGCGGCAGGTGCTGTGGAGGCTTTCTGAAAGAGGCCACATAAGATCAGGTTCTGAAGGAAGAAGGGTGGGATTTCACCAGCCAGCTTTGAGGGTTGATGGTGGGAGAGCCAGTCAGGCAGAGGTGAGAGAGGACTGCGGCTGTATTTGAAGATTGGTGTTCAGTCTGGACGGTGCGCCCAGGAGGCGGAGCCTGGTGGCCCAGGAGGCGGGGCCTGATGGCTAGGGAACAGTGGTGCTGAAACTCCGTTCAGGCCTCACGTTGAGGGCTGGAACCTTCTCTGAGAAAGACTTTCTGACTAAATCCTGCCCGTACTGCGAGGTCCTGAGGGCTCTGAGCAGGGCAAGGCCTGTCAGGGTTTGCTTCTTAGAAAGCGCTGTCTGGCAGCTGTGTGGTGGCTGGATAGGGTGTGAGAGGCAGCCAGCTGGCCAGGGGCAGGCTATTTCCACAGCTCAAGTGACAGATGGTGAGGTCAGGATTAGGCCAGTAGCGATGGGATGTGAAGGAGGTGGGGTGGCCGGCATGGGGTGACTGGTTGGTCTAGGAAAAGGCAGGCTCTCAGAAACCTAGGGTTCTGACCTGAGTTGGGAAATGGGGTTGCTGCCCATCTCTCTCACACCTTAGCTGGACCTGCTGTGAGCAAATTCTCCCTCCCTAAGTGAGGAGTGACCCATAGTAACATGGGCATCTTTGTACTACTGAGCCTCTCCGGTCTTTTCAGATTAATGCTCTTTCTTTACATATAGAGAAACTGAGGCACACAGAGTCACGTGTTTAATACAGACTCCAGCAAGGGTCTATAGTATAGGAGGGATGGGCACATTTTATCTTTGGTCTGTTGGTCTAGTCAGCTGCAGGAACAGCTCTTCCGGAGCTTGGCTCCACCTCCTTCCTTTTCTGGGTCCTTCTCCTTGGCTGAGGGCCTGTCTGCCATCTCCTAACTCCACTTCAGAAGCATGCTAATATAGGGTTCTAGGTTACAGCCTCCTCAGGGCCCAGCTGATCCTAATGAAGGGAATCTCTGGGGTAAATGTTAGCACCAGGGGCTGGACAGGTGGAAGAAGAACCTCAAAGACTTGTGATTCTGGTCTTGTGGAGGGACAGTTGGAGCTGGTCAGAAAGACCCAGATGATGGAGGCAGGTACATTAAAATAGACACTGAGATGCAATGCAAGCACACACGCACACACACACTCGAGCACATTTTTCTTTCTTTTTAATTTAGGGATCACTATGTAGCCCAGGCTGGCCTCCAACTCCTTATCTACTGCAATCTTTTAAGTTCCTTAGACTATGGTGGATGACAGCATGTATCATTATACCCAGCTTGGCTTATTTTCACCTTGGGCTCCCATGACTTCTTGCTCTGAGACCCAGAGGCGGAGCTGAGGTGGTCTTTGGGATCAGGAAACAATAGGGGAAGAACACGGAGTTTCTTTTTTCCTTTCCCAAGCTGGTCTAGAATTTGCAATCTTCCTGTCTCAGGTGAGATTACAGGCATGTATCACTACCTGGCTGGAACAAGAGTTTTCTGTTTTACTGGTGATAGGGTTGTAGACAGGTGTCAGCTTCTGATACTGAGATGTGTATTTGTTGAACATCCGCATGCACCCAGAGCCTGAGTTTCCTCTGACTTCCTCAAGAGCAGGAAGCATATTGTTTGTTGTGGAAAACATACTGATTTTGGAGTCAAAAAACCCCCAAAATTCCCCTCCATGTCTTCACTTGCATAATGGAGCAGGTGGGCCTGCTGTCATCTCCTGAGATTCTCTCCTAACAAGAGTGGGTGTGGGCTGGGATGCAACAGCTTGCTTCCTAGGCTGGGTGAAGGCAAGAGAGGGACCCTGGGCGGCAACCCCCAGGCTTGCATATCACCCGCTTCTCTTTGCAGTGCACTGCCAGAAGATCGTCCACAGGGACATCAAGCCATCCAATCTACTCCTTGGGGACGATGGGCATGTGAAGATTGCGGACTTCGGGGTCAGCAACCAGTTCGAGGGGAATGATGCTCAGCTATCTAGCACAGCAGGGACTCCAGCATTCATGGCCCCCGAGGCCATTTCTGATTCTGGCCAGAGCTTCAGTGGGAAGGTGACTCTCAGGGCCTGGGCTAGGTTGGGATTCAGGTAGAGGGGCAGAACAGCTTGCAGTGGGGGGCCACTTTGCAAGCTGAGGGTTCTAGGCTTCTTGCATTTGAAGCATGGCATATTTGCCTTCCCTGGAGCCCAACACATACTCCAACTGTGGCTCCTTTCATTTCCTAGCAAATGGTTATAATCTAACTTGAATATGTTACTGATGCTTGTCTATGTGGTGCTCTGTGCTGGACTGTGGGACAGGCAGAACCAAAATAGCCCCATTCATATCCTTCTGCATGGTGATGAGGGCTGAGAGTCATGATCCAAGGAAGGTGGAGGCTTCCTCGGGTCCCGGACATAGCAGGGTCTAGTCTGGGCCATGAAAAAAGTGAATTTAAGGTAGAGGCAGAAAATTGAGAGGCATAGGGTTAGGTGGGGGTTAGACTCTTAATGTGGCCAAAGGTAGTTATGAATACAGCCTAACACCAAAATGTAAGGTTATTTATAATAGAGGGAGGGAGGGAGGGAGAGAGAGAGAGAGAGAAAGAAAGAGAGAAAGTGTAAGAGTTTGTAACTTGGTTGCATGGTTTTCTAATGTCATCATTGTAGATGTGCTGCAGAGTCAACCATGCCTGTGCCTGGTTTATAGGTGTTGAACTTCTTATTTGGACTGGGCACATAGCTCAGTTGTAGAACATTTGCTGTGTGTGTGCACACTGGGGTTCATTTCCCAACCCTAAAACAAAGAAACTATAAGGATTTTTAATTTTGTAATTCTAAATTCACTGAAAAGTTTTACGAATAGCATAAAGGAATACCATGTAACTTCTAAGATCAGTATTTTATGTTGTGTTCGACTTGCATGCACGTCAGTGTGTGTCTGGTGCCAGCAGAGGCCAGAAAGGGCATTTAATCCCCTGGAAATGGAGGGACAGAGAACTGTGGGCCACCACGTGAGTGCTGGGAACCGAACCCACATCCTTTGGAAGAGCAACCAATGCGCTTAACCTATGAGCCATCTCTCCATTCCCTTATGTAACTTTTTAATCCAGATTCATCAGCTTTGTCACATAAACTTTTTCATTCTTTATGTTTCTGCATATTCCTGTTACATTTTTCTGAGCCATTCAGAAGTTCACTTTGAGACAGTGTATCTGTTCATTGCTGTGTACTTTAGTGGCTTTCCTAAGAGGGAGGACATTCCCTTATATAATTTGGTTCAGGGACCAAGGTGAGGAGTCTGTTTGTTTGTTTTTGGTGGGAGGAGCTCCATCAGGCTCACTTGTCACATCTCCTTAGAGTCCTCTGATCTGGAGGAGTTCACCCCGCTCCTTTTCTGGGGTGAGGGTGGGGACAAGGCTCACATATCCCATGCTGCCCCAGAACTTGCTGCGCAGCTGAGAATGACCTTGAATTAGTGAGTCTCCAGCAGCTGCCTCCCAAGTGTTGGTTTACAGACACTGCTCTCCTGTGTTCTCCCCACCCTCCCGCTCCTTGGCCTCTCGCTGTCCTTCTGACCTTGATGTTTTGAAAAGCAGCCTGATGTCCTGTAGTTTGCACTAGTGTTCCCTGGTTGGATTCTAAGGATGATGCTGATGGTGAAGATGATGAGGGTGGTTGTCTATGTCGGGGACTGCACACGTGAGGAACCTGACAGGAGCCCCACCTAGGCCTGAGAGTAGTTGTAGGTGGGCATGGAGGTAGGGTGGGCAGGTTGCTCTCTGGCTCTGGAAGTAGTTTCAAGTGAGAACCTCTTGAAACCAGAGCAAGTGATTGAGCGTAAGTTCAATACATCCTGCTATTTTGGGAATACATCTGTGTCACGGAGGCGGCAGATGACCCCATGGATGAAATATGGCTTGGAACCTGCTGAGTTAGAAGCAGTGTCTCTTTTGGCTTGTCCCTAGAAAGTCCACAGCCCCAGGAGTTTTGAGTTCTGTTCTAGTCATCCTTTTGATCCTCCGGTGATCAGCACAGGACCCAGCCCTAGGGAGTGTTGGCAAATGCCGGCCTGGGGAAGAAGGGTCCCTGTAGGGCTCTTCCACAACCTGGTAAAGCTGGGTGGGGATCAGGGTAGGGATGAGGTGGTGGAGGTGCTGGCCATGTTTACTATGTGAATTTGTTTCTTTCTAGGCCTTGGATGTATGGGCCACTGGGGTCACCTTGTATTGCTTTGTCTATGGGAAGGTGAGTCCTGAGGTGCCTGCAGAACTGACTGACTGGTTTAAGGAGCCAGGAGTGGATGACACACGCAGGACCTTCTTTTGTGTCCCTAGATAAAATAATTTTTCAAAAAGTACACCAGGGCCAGGAAGGTTGAGGGAAGAGAGGGGGTTTTGTTTCTCTTTCTCCCCTCGGGGAAGGATTGAGTAGAATCCTGGGATAGCACACATCCAAGAGGAGGTCATATCAAGATTCCTGCCCATAGCTTCTTTGGCTCTGGAGACCACACTTAAGAAGGCAGGGGGATCTCAGTGAACAGGTTCTCAAGCCCCAGACCCTAGGGGAGTGTTGCAGGCAGCTTCACTTAAAGCTGGTGGCAGATGCAGCCAACCTCATTCTCTAGTGACTCATCTGCTCAGTTCAGTTTACTGAGTGAGCCCTTGCTGTGTGCCCTGAACAAGTTAGATGGGGCCCTTCCCATCTGCTGCGGTGGGGATGGGGCATAAGCTGCCTCCCACCCCTGGCCCCCTGCAGTGTGGATCAAGGCTCACCGCCTGTCTGTCTCTTCTCCCTGCAGTGCCCATTCATTGATGAGTACATCCTGGCCCTTCACCAGAAGATCAAGAATGAGGCCGTGGTGTTCCCTGAGGAGTGAGTTGGCCATGCTGGGGACCATGGAAGCTCCTGCCCACTCCTGGGGAGGGTATCTGAACTTCAGCAGAGCGCTTGCTCCGTTAGGGTTCCATTTTAGCCTTCAGAGTTAGCGTAGGGGTGTTGATCCCTGGGAGGACCTGAGCAGATAGAGGGGCCCCTGTTCTTCCATTTGAGGAGTGTGGTTAGGGTTATTCCCAGTCCCAAGGATGAGAGAAAGGGGCCCTTGTCAATGGTAGCATCCTCATCCATTGCCTTCCCTCTGCCTAGGCCAGAGGTCAGCGAGGAACTAAAGGACCTGATCCTGAAGATGTTAGACAAGAACCCTGAAACAAGAATTGGGGTGTCAGATATCAAGGTGGGTCTGGGCCAAGGTCTCAGTGTCCCTTTCCAGAGGGGCCTACACTGGGACATGTGTGTTGGGTTTGGGGTTTGAGGGTCAAGGTCAATGCTAGGGATGCCTGGGCACCCTTGCTGGTTGGTATTTCTGTGACCCTGATCCCTCCCCATCTCCTGGGCTCTACAGTTACACCCTTGGGTGACTAAGCATGGAGAGGAGCCCCTCCCTTCAGAGGAGGAGCACTGCAGTGTGGTGGAGGTGACTGAGGAGGAGGTGAAGAACTCAGTGAAACTCATCCCCAGCTGGACCACTGTGGTAAGAGCGGGAGGGGTAGGATTCTCTTGTCTTAGCAGTGTGTGACTAGTGCCCGGGACTTGCTCTGCTCTTGGTCTTTGAGGAAACAGTGGGGCATCAGGTTGGTCAGCTGAGGGGCTATGGAAGCCTTGCTCTATTGGAGTCTAATGGAGAAAGGTCACCTCGTTCAGTTGTGGCAGAGACCTGAGGCTTGGTGAGGGCCATGGCAAGAAGAAGCATTTCCTTCCATGCATGCATTGGGTGAACTGCCGCTCTTCCCTAGGTACCACGTTGGTGCCTAGGCATGACAATGAAAGACTTGGAGATATGGTTCAAGGCCCCCACCTGTCAGTTAGACCACGCCCTACCCCCCAAAACCACCTGCTTGCCTAGGCTAGGACTGGGTGTCCAGGCCTGTTCTCCATACTGACTTGTGCTCCGCTGCCCAGATCCTGGTCAAGTCCATGCTGAGAAAACGTTCCTTTGGAAACCCATTCGAGCCCCAAGCACGCAGGGAAGAAAGATCCATGTCTGCACCAGGAAACTTACTGTTGTGAGTACAGTGGGCTAAGACCTGTGGGCTGCTCCCTGGGCAGACATGTGGCCATGAGGCACATCCCTGACATGCACTGGTGTGAGACTGTCCCTAGAGCCTGGGGATATATCCACATCTCAAAGCAGGACCCCATTTGTACCCTGTCCAGGCCCAGTGTCCTTCACGCACACACTGACGGGAAGGTCATCTTTTGGAAGCCTTCTGTGGTCGTGCTCTTCTGCCGGGGCCAGCACAACTCTCTGGCTTCCAGTCTGTGCTCCCCTCAGCCCTTCCTATTTAAAAGTCTGCAGACAGATCAAGCCTGCTCCTTACCGAAAGCTGGTGTCTGTGGAGAAATGGCCACTCTGTCCACTTTCCCTGGCCCCAGACTGGCTGTTTGATGCCCTCCTGAATGGCCCATGTCATCCACAGCCAGCACTTTGTGAGTGTTTGTCCAGCGAGTCCATGGGGACAGGCTAACTGACAAGGCCAGAAGAGAAGAACCCCTGTTCGATTAGGAGCCCCTAATTTGAATCATGTGTATATGTTCACCACTTTGTGGGAGAGGCCAGAAAAGCAGTTCTCTGAACGTTGAGTCTGGCTTCCAGGTTTTCTGCTGTAGTCAAAGTCACTTGCCAGTTAGAAGTTTGTTCACAGATCTTCAGAGAGAACTGTGAGGCATTGTGTCCCAGAACATCATGATTCTAGGGCAGTTGGGTACCTCTCCAGGCTGTGAAGGGAGCTCCAGGGAGAAGGACTGTACTTTTGGCTTGCCCTGTGCTAAGGACATTTTCCCATGAAGGTGGGCGTGGTCCTTGTGTGGGTGCTCTTAGGCCTACCCTTCCAAGAAGTGTGAGGTGGGCCTGGGAGAGCAAATATCCACACGTTTTCTGACTCTGTTTGATATCGGGGGCCCTGATGCTGGAGTTACGCATCATATAGAATTGGATCATATAGAATTGGACAAGCTGGGACAGATCTGAGCGTGAAAGGGACTCTGTTCATGATTTTGTAGGGGCAACCATCTGAATTGGTGCAGTAAACTGAGCTCCAGCTCAGTGCTTGTATCTCGGCGCCCCCTGGTGGTAGAATGAAGCAGGTACTGCTTACATGCAGGTCTTCCAGTTTGTTCCCTGGAACTGCACAACAAAAACAAGGATAAAGTACATTTTAACATCGACGAGGACCTTAGATCGGTAGACCCAACTCTTTTTTTTTTGCATTTTGTGGTATTTTTAGTCCAGTTCCATGAGATTTATCCTTTGATTGGATATTTTTAAAGATTGGGAGTTGGTGATGCACGATAAGATTCAGGAATCTGTTGAATAATGGAATTCCAAGACTGATGGTAACTCGACCCTGTGAATAAGGCAAAGAAAGGCAGGATGAAAGGTCTTCTGCCCACTGGGGCCCAGTCAAGGTCAATGTGGAAGACCTTTGACCTGACCAGTACTCCTGGGATAACAGGAAGTCATCTGGGTCAGATTGAGAAGCTCCTGAGAGGTTTAGATTTCATCCCAGAGCAGTGGGAAGCCACACAAGGGTTGTGGGTTGAGGCTGGCTGGGGTCAGGGGGATGGAAGAGCTCCTAGGGAAGCCTGGTGTGGAGTGGGGGTGTAAAGGGCTGTAGAATAGCCATTCTTATGCGAAGTATGTGAGAATCCCCAGCATACACATTCTGACTCCTGAGATCCCTCTGCCTCTGTTGTTTCCTAACAGAAAAGAAGGATGTGGAGAAGGGGGCAAGAGCCCGGAGCTTCCCGGAGTCCAGGAAGATGAGGCTGCATCCTGAGTCCCTGCATGTGCTCAGGGCCATCGTCAGCATGCTCATTCCGCGCCTCCAGAGGCCCACCGCCCTCATGCAATAGTTGCCCCTGCAGGCAGGGTCTGGGGACTGCGGCCCCTCTCCCGGCCCCCCTCCCCCATTGTGCTGCATGACCTGCGCACAGGCACATTCATGGACAGAATTGGAATGTGTATCATTTGGGGCTTGGGGTTCCTGGTTCTGTCTGTTCTGATCCATCTTGTGGGGAAGCCTGGAGCCCACAGAATATTAGAAACCCTACCTGACTGGCTGGTGAGGCCCGGGGCAGAAGGCAAGAGACCAAAGCGGCAGATGAAGGCCTGGTGGGCTGCATCTCAGAGAACTCCTATAGGGCTAGTTGGACCTGCCTAGCTGCCACACCACAAGGAAGGGCAATTGCCTCACCTCTGTGTGGAAGGTGCTGAGTGCTTGTCTACTCAGATCTCTAGCATGGATGCTGCAAATAGTGACATGTGCCTGGGAGAGGACTCGGACTGGAGAATTCCCATTCCTCTTTTGTTGTCTTTTACCTGAAGGCTAAGGTGGGAGCAGCTGTTGTGGGGACCCTCTTCTTCCAGCTTTGGGTAGTTCCTGGCACATTGTTTAGCAGTCATGTGGACCTGACATTCATGGACTGTATTTTATACTCGGCACTAGCCGGGGAAAGGGCTGAACTGAATCCAGCTCAGAGCGTAGGCCTGAGCCAGGAGCTGTGCACCTTCCCTGCCTACCTCCCTTCGTTCCTACGGATCTTCAGAGCCAAGGTTGCAGAAGAGATACCAGGAGTGACACTGAGGGTCATGGACTCTCAGAACTGTGGCCCTGCAGATGTGGAAGTAACTGGGATCCAGGCTCTGACCCTACAATGGCTTACCCATCACATGTCTATGATGGAGGATAAACTGCCCAGATGGGAGACCCAGCCAGATGAGGGACCCTACAGGATGCACACCCTCTCAGGCAGGTGGCCCTTCTGCCAATTGCTTCAGCAAAGAACATCAGTCAGCCCATGCAGGGCGGAGATACACATTTGGGACACAAATATGTGGACGGTGCCCTTCTGAAGCAAGTGTCAGCTCTCTGGATTCTGGTGTTGTCTGGCTATTCTAATGTTTACTGACAATGCTCATAGAAATTGGTCTCCAAAGGGAGATGAGCAGGACTCAGGTACTCCCCGCCCCTGAAAGCATCCCACGAGGAAATCCCAACTGCCCACATGGGTTTCAGAATGCAGGAGGGCTAGACCAGAAAAGAGGGAGGCTTGGGAGGGAGCACTGAGTTCCAACGCATCTCTGTGCCAATGGGAGTACATTGCACCTTCATGTGCACATGTGTGTGTGTGCCCATCTGCTGTACACAACACACTTGCATGTCTCGTACTGGCACATGCATCTGTAATATACTTTCTACATCCACTTAAGCCTAGGGGCAGAGGGTAGCCCATTGTATATGGGCTCCCATTTCAACCCAGCTCCTCTGCACCAAGGCAGCCAGTATAACCCAGGGCTTAAAAACAAATCATCTAAACATATCTCTAAGAATACTTTTATAGAGTGAATGAGAGGCAGTCATTAAATAAATAGCAAGGAGTAAGGGAGCTTTGTGAATGGGACCGACCCACTTGGGGAAAAGTTTGGAACTGGGTGACTGACCTCACTGTCCCTAGCAGGAAGGCATGTTCGCTGTCACCTGTTGCTGAGAACTTTGGTTGGCATTGGTTTTGAATGTAGCACCAAGTGAACAAACTCCATAAGAGTGTTTTGAAAACCAACTTCTTAGGAAGTGAATTAAAGACAATAAAAAGCCCTTTGTTAAAGAAAAAAAAAGGCTTTGTATGTCTTCTGTCTCCAGATGTGTGCTTTTCTTGTTACAGTTGACTTGGCTTGATCGTCTAGAAGACTCTGAGGCACTGGAGGCCCTTAAGCAGCATGGCAGGGTAGTAAGAGGTCGGGAGAGGGGAGGTGGAAGAAAGGAGGGTTCATGGGGCTAAGGAACTCCTGTCCTCTATTCAGCTTAAGTCCCAGGGCCCCTACTTGGGAAGAATCGGATGCTTGAGAGCCAGTGAGGTGACCATAGGATATGTGACTTCTTGTCTCAGGGGTTCAGGAAAGCTAAACTGGGGAGCTGGCCTGTCCAGTGTCTTCCCCATGCCTTATTAGCCCAGGACTCTAGTCATAGGGTCCTCCAGGGTAGTAATGTCATGTGTCATTCTTGAGGTCAGACAGCCCTGAGCTTGAACACAAATTTGGCTACTTACCTGTCTTCCTTAGGGTTTCTATTGCTGTGAGGAGACACCATGACCACAGCAACTCATAAAGGAAAAGATTTAATTGAGGTGGTGGCTTACAGTTTCAGAGGTTAGTCCATTATCATCATGGTAGGGAGCATGGCAGCGTGTGTGTAGGCATGGTGCTGTAGAAGGAACTGCTACATGTTAGTATGGCAGATAAGAGTAGACTAAGTATCACGGAGCCAAGCTTGCGCAAAAGAGACCTCACAGATCACACCCACAGTGACACAGTTCCTCCAACAAGGCCACACCTACTTCAACAAGGCCATGCCTCCTAATAGTGCCACTCCCCTTGAGGGGTCATTTTCTTTCAAACCACCACACTTCCTAATAACCATAGCAGCTTTGGCAGGTCGTTGAAGGAGCTCTTGTTCATTGGTACAGTGAAAATGGTGTCAGTACCTTGGTGGAGCTTTTGTGACAGTAAATTGAGTTCTTGTTTCAAAAGCCTAGTTTGTAATAAATATTCACTAAATGAGCCCCTTATGGGGAAAGCTGGGGGTTATTGCCCAGCAGGCCCCACATGGCTGCTGTTGGCTCAGCTATGAGCTTGCAGCTGGGTGAAGTCAGAGACTGACGAGTGCTGAAGGCAAGAAGATGACCAAGCCACAGAGACTGCCTCAAGTTGGTGATCAGTTTGTCCACCTGAGAAAATATTAATATTTTCTTTAATGTTCCTGGCTGCTTCCTAGTCATTTTATGCTCCTGTGAGGGGCAGTAAGTACAAGGCCTCCAGAGGAGTGATGCTGGCCAGACAAGAGTTTGTCATATACCACACCAATAAGTGGGTTCTGTTCCCATTCCCTCCCTGTCCTTTCAACCCTTACCTCTCACCTCACTGGTCTTCAGCCCTTATCCTTGCTAGCTGCCCAGTAAAAGTCCCACCCCGGTATCCAAGGCCTGTTGCTGGCTCTCTGGGTGCTCTGCTGACTCACAGGTTTACCCCACACACACACACACCCTTTATTCTCTTCCTTCCCCCCGTGTCTCTATCTCACCTATCCTGCCAGGGTATTGCCTTTCCCATACCCCTACCTCTGCCTGTCAAAGCCCATTACACTCTCAAGCAAGGTATACTGGATCCTGGGAGCTTCAGAAAGAATCACAAGTGCTTGATGTGATTTTCCCATGAGTCTGATCCTTTCAGCATGCACGCTGGTGGGACAACTGAGGCCCAGAGAAAAGTGATTTAGGTGAGTGCCAGGTTAGAGCCTGCATCTCTTACTCACTAACCCCCTCCCCCAAGGCCTTTCTACACAAGCTCCCAGGAGAACTGTAAGCCCTACACATGCAAAGACATCTGGGAAACCCAGAGTAGAAGCTACTCTACCACATACGGGAACTGAGCCCCAGCAGCAGTGGGTCTGGCTGAAGATTTGGGAGGCAGTTAAGTGTGCCTTGGGGAGACCCTGATGCCTACCTGGGAATGTGAATGTCTGCAGGCTTTGAATCCTGCAGAACCTCTCCTGGTTTATGCTTCCTCATCCACTCAGCATACATGATGGCTCAGCTGGGGATGGAGGCTAGAAACTACTGACATGGTTCCGGCTTTCCCAGGGGACACATTTCCAGGGTTACCTTCACTACACACAGATGAGCACACTCTACACAGCCTTTACTTTCTTGAGTGCGAACACACAGTATCCCCTCTGGGGAGCCAGGTAGTAGATGGTGCTGGGTTCTGAGCACCAACTGAAGACATGGTCAGTACAAGTAATGGTCTGGCTGGACTAGGCCTCTGGGTGAGTACTACTTGGTTCCAGACTTAAATGACCATCCCTCCCTAAGCCCCTCCCCCCCACAACGTTCTGTACTTTTAACCACTGAACTATTTTATCTTCACTTTAGTTTTTGAGACAGGATCCCTCAGTGAACCGGATTTGGCCAGGCTGGCTGATCAGTGAGCTCAGGGATCTGCCTAGCCCTGCCCCTCCAGCACTGGGGTTTTAGATGCTCACCACTTTGCCAGGCTTTTTACATGAGTGCTGAGGATTTAGAACCTGGAGGAAATTTACCAGTTGAGCCATCTCCCCCGCCCCATAACTGTAACTTGTTGAAAATGATTCTTTACAACTCCCTAAATTTTCTATTGTTTCCTCTTCATCTCAGGCCTCACTGCGGATAGGGAGGCAGAAGAGGTGAGCTAGGTGATCAAGCAGAGAAAAGGTACAGGGCTGTCTGGGGAGCAGCCTGGAAGTTTAGTGTTGACTGCCTTGATGTCCCTTGCTAGCTGCGGCTGCCCCACAGCCTCCTTGAATTGTGACACCAAATCCCTCTGAATTGAATCCTCATGCTGTAAGACTCTTCTAGGAGGGAGAGAGGCCTGCGCAGCTGAGTAATTAACTGCTTCTGCCTCTCCTACCTCCCACTCTATAGGCCCAGAGAGCTAGTGTAATGGTGGGGTTCGTGACTGTCACCCACAGCTGGCCATCCCAAACAGAAACATTTCTCTAAAATACATACTAGGGAGCCAGGCAAGGTGGTCCATGCCTGTAATCCCATCTCTCAGGAAATGGAGGTAGGAGGATTAAAAGTTCAAGGTTATTCTCTGGCCTGTGAAATGAGTAACAGACCAGTCAGTGTTACACGGCAAGATCCTGTCTAAAACAAGACGGCTGGAGATATCACTCATTGGTAAAGGGGTCTGTTAGTATGCTCAATTCTCTGGGTTCCATTGTCAATACAGAAAAAAAATAAGGGAGTAAAGAAAATACGTTTGATTCTGTACTTACTTTTGCATTACATTCAGTCAAAGCCATCCTTCTAAGGAATTCCATCTTTGTCCCATGGTATAGGCCCACTTTAAGAAAACTTGAATGTGCTATACCATTTCTGTTGGCTTTTATAGCCACATAAAATCTAACCCTTGCATTCTTCTCTGGAGGAGTGTGTCATTCTATTTCTGATGAAGGAACTGAGACTTGAAGCTTAAGTGGCATTTCTAAGAACACCCCTAGTGTATCTGATTCTTGTGTTTTTCTGTTTTAGAACTATTTGTCTGCTATGGTCTCACCTGTTCCAGCTTCAGATTGGGAGACAGGTCTAGAAAGGACCCAGAACTAGCTAAAGGTGACACAGGAGAAGACACAAAATCAGCACTGGAAGTCTGGAGTCCTTCTTCTTTCCCAGTCAGACTCTTACTAGAAACATTTGCAAGAAATCACTCTTAGGAGCCTTTGATGGGTAGAGCCCCCACAAGAGAGAAACAGGGTTTAAGCTCTGGTTCTGCCCTTTGGGTTGGTCACTTCCATCTTGGAGTCCCCCCCTTTAAGATAGGGTCTTTTGTAGCTTAGGTTGGCCTCAAGCTAGCTACATATTGGAGGATAACCTTGAACTTCTAATCCTCTGGCCTCTATCTCCCAAGTGCTGGAAATACAATAGTGTACACCATGCCCAGCTTAAATTTAGGCAGGGTCTCACCTTGGAGCCCTGGATGTCATGGAATTCACTATGTAGACTAGAATGGCTTGGAAATCGTAGCGGTAGCCAGTCTCCGACTCCTGAGTGCTGGGATGAAAGGCATATAAACCTATGCTGGGCTCCAGCTTAAATTTTTGAATACATAAAATGGCTCAGTTACTGGAAGAATTGACAGACAAGATTTACCATTCAAAAAACTTTGTAAACGTTATTGCCAAGAGATGATAAATTATAGTTCATTCTGGGCTCTGAAGTCTGATTGCCGGGACTCCAGGTAATCATTAAAATAGTCTATACCTTGAGAAAACTATGCTCCAGTTTTCTCCTATGTGAAATGAAGGAAGAGTAAAATCTTAGTTATAGAGTTGTAAGGGTTCAAGCCTTGGAAGTAATCAGCACATAGCAATGACTCTGTAGTTCTTAGGAGTATAGTCCTCTAAGTGTAGGTATTTTGGAACCTCCGACGACGCCCCACCTCCGTCTCCATTTGGTCCCGCCCCTCCCCGCGAAATCCCGCCCCAAGCCGGCCCCAGGTTCCCGGGCCACCAAGGGGGGCGCCAGAGATAAAGACAGCTTTCTGGCCGAAACGGGCGACGCTCTGGCTGACGGCGGCTCTCCTCTGTGGTTATCGGCGGCGGCGCTCTAGGCGGCGGGTTGTGAGGGGCGGGCTTTCTGTGGTGCGGCCGGCTGGCAGCTATGGCGGCCGTTCGCGGCCTGCGAGTGTCTGTGAAGGCGGAGGGCCCGGTTGGGTCCCCGGCTTTGGGGCTTCCGTCGCCCGAAGTGGAGTCCGGCTTGGAGCGTGGCGAGCCGGAGCCCATGGAAGTGGAAGAGGGCGAGCTGGAAATCGTGCCGGTGCGGCGCTCGCTAAAGGAACTGCTCCCGGTACGGGCGAGGGGCGGGGGCTGATGAGGAGGTCGCCGAGCGAGTGTCCCTTGCGGGGCGGGGAGGTGGCGAGTCGCGGCCGTGGCGCAGGTCCGGGAGCCTGGAGAGGGGCGCGAGCGCCCAGGCGCCGGGGCCGCGCTTGACCCGGAGAGAACCGGAGCGAGAGAAAGGACACCCGGGCGCCCGGAAATGGGTGCAGAGAGCGCTGGAGGAGGCGAGAGAGCTGGGAGAGAGTTGGGGACATCC